CAATATGTAAATAGTCCAACAAGGGAAGTGGCCATAGTAGACCTGGTACTGTGCCTGGCCAGGTGATCAAAATTTCAGTGGGGGAGCATTTCAGGAGCAACGACTATAATTCTGTTGTTTTAAGTTACTTATAGATAAGGATAAGAGTAATCCTTGGGTGAAAGTAGTAAATTAGGGGAAGGCTAACTATCATTTTAGGCAGGATCTAGGGAATATAGATTGGGGGTGGCTGTCTGAGGTTATATCCACATCTGGCATGTAGGAATCTTTTAAAGGCTAGTTGATTAGAGTTCAGCACCAGCATGTTCCTGTGAAAATGAAGGATAGGAATGGCAAGATTTGGGAACCTTAGATGACAAGAGAAATTAAGGGCTGAATCAAAAAGAAAACATTTGATTTGATTTGATTTGATTTATTTATTATTACATGCATTTTGTTATAATATATAGTGAAAAGTGTTATACAGTGCCACACTCTCCAGTGCCATCTTAAAACACAGAAAAATAAACTAAAACATAGAGCATAAAGGCAGAAAAATAAAGAAATAAAGTTTAACTTTGCAGTCCTTCTTGTTAAGTGCTCAGCCATGGGCCTGGAGAGACCACCCACTGGTCCCCTCAGTGTGCCAAAAGAACAAGAGTCACCATTCTCCAGCACCATCTCACCTTCATGACACTGCCACCACCATGATGGAGCTCACCGATGCAGATGTCACAGATACCACCAGGTCCTGCATCGGCCCAAACCCAACTTTGCTGCTGACGCCAAGAGTCTGCTCAGGCCCACCTTACCGATGTAGCCCCCACCAATGCCATTGGTTCTTATACTGGGCCCAAACTTGACTCCGCTGCCACCTCCATGAGTCTGCGCTGGTGGCAGATGCCATAGGGATGCCAAACTCACCTCCGCTGCAGCAGCCATGAATTGATGCTGGGCCACCCTCGTTGATGCAGAAGTTGCCAGGAACCCAAACTTCTCTCCCACTGGGCTCGCCACACCACCAATGATACTGTCGCCACACACCAAGCTCTTCACAAGATTGAAGTACAAAGAAGAAAAAAAGAGAAAATTTAAAAGAAAAAGAAAAGAAAACAAGACAGGGCGGACAAGTCCTAGGCTCAGTAGCCCTATTCTGCTGCCATTAAACTGAGGCATATGTAAGATTTAGGAAGCTGAGGATAGACAGAGCCCTCAACGAATACAAGGATAGCAGGAAAGAACTCAAACAAGGAATTAGGAGGGCTAAAAGGGGTCATGAAATGTCTTTGGCAAACAGCATTAAGGAAAACCCCAAGGCATTTTATATACATACAAGGAGCAAGAAGGTACTAGGGAAAGGGTAGGCTCACTCAAGGACAAAGGTGGGAATTTATGCATGGAGCCAGAGGGAGTGAGTGAGATCCAGAGGAATCTGGAAATGACCAACCTTGAGACTCTGCCCACTGGTTTATTTCTTAGCTCCATAAAACCGGCCTGCAAGGCCTCATCCTTTATCGTACCTTTGTGATTGGAACTGATTTGAATCAAGGCCAGTCACTGACCACTGACCACCCACCACCCCCCCTGCCAAGCTGTCTCACTGTGCTATGCAGTTGCTCAGTGACCTCCTTGACCCCGGTGCTAAGAAGGCAAATTGCATTCCTGGAATCACTTCTGCAGCCAAAGAGATGTCTATCTGTTCCCTAACTATGTAATTACTCATCAATACAGTTTTTCCAACTTCCTACCCTTTCATATAAGTTGAAACATACATGGTGTCATGAACATGGCCTTTGCTGTAATCCTTGGAGGAATCAATACTTTCACAAATTTTCTGATGTGATAACCAATTGGAGACTGAGATGTATTCAGTTGACTTCTGCATTAGCTGCCTGGTCCTGCCTTACTGTTTCAATGAAAGTTTTGTAGATGCACCAGTGTGACTCTAGCTACTGCTCACACTCCAAAACCCCAAACTCAAACCTTATCCAGCTCTGGAGATGGTTCCTGTATATGTGGCTATCCAGGGAATTTCCATAAGGAAATTTGCACCATAAGTGCATTTGATGGGACAGAAGTACCCTATCATGCCTGCACTATTGGTTTGCAACCTGAATTTATGAGACATTAAAATTTTAGAGTTTAAAAGGTTTTTTACATTTTAAAACCAATTTAATGATTCTAGTTTATTTTCTTGGATTTCAACCTTTCCTTAACTTTGACTCTACACCTAGAGTCACTCAAATATTGTCGCTTTTTGTTTCACAATTATTTTGTGTCCCAGATTATGGTCTGTTGAAGTTTATTCACAGAATTTAACTGACTGGCTTGTAGATGTCTGGGTCATGTTATTTTTTTAAAAATAGGGGTGGAAGATTTGCAAGCCTGTTGGCATAGTCCGGTAGAATGAGGAAACATGAAGTCTGACCTGAGGAGTTAGATGCAGCCAAGATGGAGGGAGACAAAAGCAGTTTGTGATTTTATGACTCTTTTAATGTAAGAGACCCTCTCAAAATGCTGACATTACCGACTGCAAACTTATTTTATGCATTTTACAAATGAACTGATGAGAGGAAAGAGAGAGGAAGACTCCATTTTCTCCCCCTTGGTCCAGGAACTCCCTACCTACGTCCATGACACCACCCATGCCCTCCACCTCCGCCAAAACTTCCAATTCCCCGGTCCCCAACATCTCATCTTTACCATGGACATCCAGTCCCTATACACCTGCATTCCCCATACAGATGGCCTAAAGGCCTTCCGCTTCTTCCTGTCCTGCAGGCCCAACCAGTCCCCCTCCACTGACACCCTCATCCGCTTAGCTGAACTCGTCCTCACCCTCATCAACTTCTCTTTCAATTTCTCCCACTTCCTACAGACAAAGGGGGTGGCCATGGGTACCCGCATGGGCCCAAGCTATGCCTGCCTCTTCGTAGGTTACGTGGAACAATCCCTCTTCCGTAGCTACACTGGCCCTAAACCCCTCTTCCTCCGTTACATTGATGACTGTATCGGCGCTGCCTCGTGCTCCCACGAGGAGCTCGAACAGTTCATCCACTTCACCAACACCTTCCACCCCCAACCTTAAGTTCACCTGGACCATCTCGGATACCTCTCTCTCCTTCCTGGACCTCTCTATTTCCATCTCTGGCAATCACCTGGAAACCGATATTCATTTCAAGCCCACCGACTCCCACAGCTACCTAGAATACACCTCCTCCCACCCACCTTCCTGCAAAAATGCCATCCCCTATTTCCAATTCCTTCGCCTCCGCCGCATCTGCTCCCAGGATGAGGCATTCCACTCCCGTACATCTCAGATGTCCTCGTTTATCAAGGACCGCAACTTCCCCCCTGCCCCCAATGGTCGAGAACGCCCTCGACCGTGTCTCCCGCATCTCATCCCTCACACCCCCTCCCCGCAATAACAACCAAAACAGAATCCCCCTCATCCTCACATACCAGCCCACCAACCTCTGGAGCCAACGCATCATCCTCCGACACTTCTGCCATCTGCAATCCGACCCCACCAAAGACATTTTTCCCTCCCCACCCTTATCTGCTTTCCGGAGGGACCACTCTCTCCGGGACTCCCTTGTTCGCTCCAGACTCCCCTCCAGCCCCACCACACCCGGCACTTTTCCCTGCAACCAGAGGAAGTGCTACACCTGCCCCCTCACCCCCATCCCAGGCCCCAAGAAGACTATCCACATCAAGCAGATGTTCACCTGCACATCTGCTAATGTGGTATACTGCATCCGCTGTTCCCGTTGTGGCCTCCTCTACATTGGGGAAACCAAGCGGAGGCTTGGGGACCACTTTGCGGAACACCTACACTCGGTTCGCGCTAAACAACTGCACCTCCTAGTCGCGAACCATTTCAACTCCCCCTCCCATTCCTCAGACGACATGTCCATCCTGGGCCTCCTGCAGTGCCACAACGATGCCACCCGAAGGTTGCAGGAACAGCACCTCATATTCCGCTTGGGAACCCTGCAGCCCAATGGTATCAATGTGGACTTCACAAGCTTCAAAATCTCCCCTCCCCTGACCGCATCCCAAAACCAGCCCAGCTCATCCCTGCCTCCCTAACCTGTCCTTCCTCCCACCTCAAGCCTCACCCCCATCTCCTACCTACTAACCTCATCCCGCCCCCTTGACCTGTCCATCCTCCTTGGACTGACCTATCTCCTCCCCAACTCCCCACCTACACTCACCTTTACTGGCTCCATCCCCGCCTCTTTGACCGGTCGCTCTCCTCTATACCTATCTTTTCCTTTATCCGTCTCCCCCTCTCTCCCTATTTATTTCAGAATCCCCTTCCCCTCCCCCATTTCTGAAGAAGGGTCTAGGCCCGAAACGTCAGCCTTCCTGCTCTTCTGATGCTGCTTGGCCTGCTGTGTTCATCCAGCTCTACACCTTGTTATCTCTGACTGCAAAATGTCCCTTGAAGACTCAGTAATACTTGCAAGAGCATTTACAAAATCAAGTAGGCTAACTGCAGATATTAACTTTTCACATGACGAGCTTTCTCAACTAATTTCTATGTTTCACTCAATTACAACCAGTCTAAAACAATAGTTAGCCCTGCCCTAGGTAACTGCACTTGGTCCCGAGGATGCTGCAGTTTGATCCTGCACGTAGTTTATTTCCCCTGTAAAATTTGCAGCATTGCTAAAAGAATTTCTTGCATGTTTTTTCAGTTTTTTGTTTTACTTTTCAATCCTTCATAAGTAATACAAGGTGATCAAGACCTGATGCGATATCACACACATATGGCTGAAACACTTCTTTCAGCAACAAAACCAACTGATAGGAACAAAACCTTGTGCAAATTTTTATGATCAGCCTCACCTAGATTTATGATTTGCAAGTGTGGAAAGGATGTGGCTGAGCTACTAACGCATGAAGGGAGCTGAAAACACACACACACACACACACACACACGAGTTAAAAAACTGGCTATTAAAAACAAAGATGGAAAGAGATAAAATTGAGGTGGTGAAATAAAAATCAGCAAGTTTCTGCAATGTACTTTATGTGTTTTAATGCATCACATCCAGTTGAAAACCAAACTTTTTATGGTTTGTTTGGAAACACCTCTAGACCATACTATCACACAGGCAGTGTGATGAGAAAGATACATTTTGATTGGTTATTGCAGAGAACTTTACAAAGAGGATTTCATTGGCCACACTGCCTAGCGATCCATTGCTGTTCCTTTCTTCTTGTTGATAACATCACTTCAACGATAATGCTGCAGAAAACGGTAATCCGGTTTCAGAGGCGAGAAGGAAGCCAACACAGAAAACACATCTCCAGAAAGCTGGGGCGAGGGGGAAACAGTTCTGTTATTCATCCATGGGAAGTGGCATTTATTGCCCATCCCTAGTTGCCCTGAAGAAGGTGGTGGTAAGCTGCCTTCTTGAACTATTGCAGTCCATTTGGTATACTAGACCCCCAATGCCATTAAGCAAGAAATTACAGGATTTGACTCAATAACACTGAGAAACAGCAATGTATTTCCAAGTGTGGGTGGAGAGTGACCTTGGGGTCAAGTTGCAAGTGGTGACTTTCCTATGTACCCAGAGCCCTTATCCTTCTAGATGGTAGTGGTTGTGGGTTTGGAAGGAGCCTAGATGAATTTCTCCAGTGCATCTTGTAGCTGATATATAGTACTGCTACTGAGCATCAGTGGTGGACGGTGTGAATGTTTATGGGTGTGGTATCAATCAAGTGATTATTGAACAAAAACAAAGTTTCTGGAAAAGCTCAGCATCTGTGGAGGAGAAAACAGAGTTAAGTTTTTGGGTCCGGTGACCCTTCCTCAGAACCCAGACCTGAAACATTAACTCTGTTTTCTCCTCCACAGACGCTGCTAGACCTGCTGAGCTTTTTCAGCAACTTTGTTTTTGTTCCTGATTTACGGCATCCGCAGTTCTTTTGGCTTTTAAGTGATTATTGAAGTTCATGTTGAGAGAAGTCTTTTCCCCTGTGCTGTTTCTTATACTGTAGAAAGGAGGAAAAACAAACTGCACAGTCTGTTAAACCACTTTAAATGTATAAAATGTCTATTGGATTTCCATATTAGATTCTGACCACTACTAAGCAATAATAATAACTCTAATCTGCTTCAGAATATACAAACTAGGTTTGGCCACTGTGGGATTAAATCAGTGATAATCACGGTAGGTGAAATAATCAAAAATTGTTTCTGTTAGCAGAATAGCAATACTCTAATTGAAGGAATTTATTTATATCATAGTCTGAAATGTGAGAGCCTTTATTTCTAAACAGTGCCCTTTAGTTCTAGCTTCCCTACAAGGGTAGAAGCCTCTTTGCACCTACTCTGTCATACCCCTCAGGATCTTATTGTTGCAAGTAATATCACCTCTTATTTTTCTAAATACCGAGGAGTATAGGCTCAACCTGCTCAATCTTTTGTCATAAACCAACTCCTCATCCCAGGAATCAGCTAGTGAACCTCCTCTGAACTTCTTCCAGTTGTTACAGAGAAGGGGAGATTAAATAAAAGGAAATCCCTGATATTCACTTTAAAAGTAACATTTTATTTATTTAACCCTAACAGTGAACAAATTAACAGAATAACTAACAAACCAAACAATTCCCCCTTAACTACTAATTATTTCCTAACTGAACTAAATCCTACTGGTATGCTGTTCCAATAAACACAAGTCCCACTAATATAAACCCAAGTAATAAGGAAATAAATTGAAACTTAGTCACTCAAAGTCTACATGCCTTTCATTTGCTGTTCTCAAGTCACGAATGCCTTTCTTCTGCTGATCCAGCTGTCAGGGATGTTTTCTCTGTGAAGTTTTCTGTGAGGACTCTTAGCTAGAAGTGCTGTGGTACCTTTTATGGATAGATGGTGCTTTCTTAGAGAGCTTAGTGATTTCTTGTGAGAGCTAGACGCTTATTTCTCAGATGGCAGGTCGCTCTCTGATTTTCAAAAGCCCTCACGTTATATACCTTGGATGACGTATCAATTTTCTTACAAAAGCTTTGGTCTGAGGTTGTCAAAACCATCAGATTTAAATTCAATTGGCTTTCAGTTGCTAAGGGTTTGGTTTAAATTAATTGGCTGATTCCAGATCATTGCCAAAACACCAAAGCAAGCCTAAGGTTTCTAATCACACAGCCAATTGATACATGTTTCAATTTCTGAACTAGCTGTTCCTATTCAGCTGCTTACACACATTTTCTGTGTAAATCTTCAAGCTTAGAGAAAGAACCTCTTAAAGGGACTACGCACTTCCCCCTTTTTTTTTTTTTTACAAATTCTAGAAGGTTTCTTGCCTTCCAATTCATGATTACTCTACACAACTTCATAACACAGTGAGAGTAAAATAAGGAGACCAAAACTACACACAGTACCCCAGCTATGCTCCCCCAAATGGTTGGCTATACAGTTGTAGTAAGACCTTCCTACTTTTACATTTCATACCCCTTGCAATAAAGCCAACATTTCCTCATGACTTGCATAATCGTATGCATAGTTTCTGCATACTATACTTTTTCATGATTTATGTGGGACATGGGCATCACTGGTTGGCCAGCATTTGTTGCCCCCCCCCCCCCAGTTGCCTTGAGAAGGTGGTGGTGATCTGCCTTCTTGAACCATTGCAGTAGGTAGACCCACATTGCTGTTGGGGGTTCCAGGATTTTGACCAATGACACTGAAAGAACAGTGATATATTTCCAAATCTGGATGTTGAGTGGTGTGGGGTTACTTGCAGGTGGTGGTGTTTGTACATAGCTGTTGCCCTTGTCCCTCTATGTGGTAATGGTTGTGAGTTTAGAAGGTGCCATGGAAGGATTTTTGTTAAATTTCTGAAGTGCATCTTGCAGGTAGTACACACTGCTGCTGCTGAGCCTCAGTGACGGAGGCAGTAGATGCTTGTAGGCGTGGTGTCAATCAAGCGGGCTATCATAGAATCCCTACAGTGTGGAAACAGGCCCTTTGGCCCGACAACTCTACACCAAACCTCAGGGGGATGGGTCTGGGTGGGATGCTCTATGACCCACCTAACATACACCCTCTACCTCCCTGAACACTACGGGCAATTTAGCACAGCCAATCCACCTAACCTGCACATCTTTGGACTGTGGGAGGAAACCGGAGCACCTGGAGGAAACCCATGCAGATACAGGGAGAATGTGCAAACTCCACACAAACAGTCACCCAAGGGTGGAATCAAACCCGGGTCCCTGGCACTGTGAGGCAGCAGTGCTAACCATTGTGCCACCATGCCGCCGGGCTGCTTTGTCCTGGATGGTGTCAAGCTTCTCGAGTGTTGTTGGAGCTATACCCATCCAGATAAGTGGGGAGTATTCCATCACAGTCCTGACTGGTGCCTTGTAGATAGTGGACAGGCTCTGGGGAGTCAGGAGGCCAGTTGCTCACTGCAGGAGTCCTAGCCTCTGACCTGGTACAGTCTTTCTCAATGGAAGAGCCTGTTATTAAGAGTTTGAACAATTCCTTAAGGAAATCCTTCTGTACTGTGTTTAATCTATATTCCCAGTACATGTCGAAAAAAAAAACTGCAATGCTCTGGAGAAAGAACAGAGGAATGATATTAACCGGATAAAGCTTTCAAAGAGCAGGAGTAAAGGCGATGTGTTCAATAGTGACCTTTCAAAGTTTTCCCATTCTATCTTGACAATGATGAAATCCATTTATCACTGAAATTGTGCAATCTATATTAGCTCCCAGCGATGGACTTTACTGATCTGCTTTTACCATGAAACTCCTTTGACACAACCACAGCTTGTAGTAAGAGCAAATATAAAAGTCATATCTCGTCTGCCCATCATCCCACCCCTGTTTTCAAAGTTTGGTTTAACATTTCTTCCGCTTTTTGTAACGTAAAAGAAAAATCGGAAGTTGGACCGATTGAGAGATAAGCTACGGACATTTTACTTTATTGGTACGACCTTCTCTGGCAGGAGCGCAAAGCACTGTGAGACGGTCAGCATGGAGATGGAGATTCTGGACAATGTGATCTTTCTGGGTACTATCACTCTGCTCAGTGCTCTTCAGAATGGTAAGGCATCTGCTTTACAATGCAACCAGTATGCACACCGACACCAAAGTAAATGCATTCGGTTCATCTATACTGTTCCTTCAATATGATGGGAACTCTCTGTGTTCCTCTGTTGCAGTATTCTTTGCGTACACAGTGCAGAATGAATCCCTCCAGAAGCGGCCGACTCATAGCGCTTTCGACCGGATCAATATAGCAAAGTAAGACAACCGTTTTCTACAAATAACTTGTTAGTAAAGTGGAAAAATAAAATAGTCCGTGTATGTTATTCAAATTTAAAATCGGTAGTGAGCTACCATTTAAATAAGATCAATTTTCAGGCACTTTGGAAAAGGTGAACTCAGTACAGTACCAGAGATTAGTCATAAAAGTAACCAATTGTACTAGGATCAAACAACACCCATTGAATATCGTTCAATTAATGGGGAAAGTCAATTGATTCAAGTAGAAAGGAAATACTTGTAGTAAATGACGGTTCTTGGGAGTTACACACCGTTGCAAATGACATTGCTTACCAGTTTTCCAAATTCATATCTGAAATATTATTAAGCAGCATTTTCATAATGGTGGTCTGAAGCTGTTTCCAGATGCAGACCAACTACTTGGTCGTTGCAAAGGCTCCTGCTAGTTGATTTTGAGCTCGATCATATTGAGTCTAAAGAAGTGATCAAACAAGAAATTAAGGACAGATAAAGTACACCTGGAGGATGACTTTAAACTAATTGCAGGCAATTGTAAATCTGTTTTTTTTTAAGAAAAGTAAATTGCAGTTCAAGGTATCTTAATTTTTTTGAACTGAAAAGCGCAATGAATGTTTGGAATCGGATTTACGACAGTGTAATTACCTGAGACTAACCCAACCAATGGTTCTGGAGTTTGGCAGAAATATAATAGAACTTTTAAGAATCTTACTGAGACCACACAACTTGTAATTATTTATCATCTTTAACAGAATGCAACACCTGGAAATGTTTCACAGAAGTAATTAAAAATAAAACTTATTGCAGAACCCCATACCAAAAAGCTTTGTCAAAGAGGTAGGTCTTTATGAGTGTCTTCAAAGAGATATAGAGAGATTTAAGGAAGAGTATTCAAAAAGAACCCAGGAAGTTGATGCGAACTAGGGGAAGCCCGGAGGCCAAAACTGACGGAGCACAGATATCTCATAGCATTGCAGGATCAGAGTTTGATGTTATAATGGTTTTGGGTGAAGAGACCGTGGAAGGTTTTGAAAGCAAAAATGAGAATTCCTTCTTAATCAGGAGGCAGTGTAGGTCAGCAAAACTTATGGTTGATTGATGAATGGAATATGGTGGCAATTATAAAAATAATCCCCATACAGAATGATTTGTTAGTTATATTGGCCTAGAGTGGTCAGTTTCTTAGTAAACGAAATAAAATTATATTCAAATGCGTTTAAAACACATCCTTCATTGTCCTTGGATCCAAAGGAGCCAGTTAAATATTAACAGAGATGGAATGATGGCTCAGTGGTTAGCACTGCTACCTCACACTGCCAGGGACCTGGGTTCGATTCAACTCTCAAGCAACTATCTGCATGGTGTTTGCACATTCTCCCCGTGTCTGTGTGGGTTTCCTCCCACAATCCAAAAATGTGTAGATTAGGTGGATTGTGGTGCTAAATTGCCCATAGTGTCCAGGGATGTACAGGCTAGGAGGATTAGCTGTGCTAAATGTGAGGTTCTGGGTGGGATGCTCGATGGGCTGAATGGCCTCTTTTTGCACTGTAGCGATGCTATAAACAGTCTTTGAAGATCTGCCAGACAATTCCATTAGCAGACATTTACAATCGTCTATAATTCAATTTGGGGCAGGTCCAGATTTGTAGGCGAGGCTGCTTTGAGCATTGTGTGTTGTAATCCAGCACAAAAAAGGTGGAATGTCACTGGATGTAACTAGTGATCAAAATTCTGTGATCTTTTGCACAGGTTTGGCCTATTTTGGGTATATAATGCTGTAGGTAATAGAACAACATACCAGAAACTTTATCCTTTGAAATTCAAAGCCATTAAAAGTGTATTTTTTAATCTATTAACTTTTCTCGTGCTATGTAATTATCGGTTAGAAACCAATTATTTTCCAAGAATATAACTTTAAAACTCTTGCCCATTTCCTTCTGCTACATCTATTGAATAACTTCCACAAATTATTCTTTGAAAACCAATCCCAATGGTTATTGATTCAGACAAGAAATGTGTAATTGACCTGTATTGTGGCGAGCCCTACGCTTCACTCTTGAGTCATAATCACAGAGAGCTACAACATAGGAAAAAGCCCTTCAGCTCAATAAGACTGCGCTGTTCAAAAACAACCAGCCTACTATTCAAGAGATAACAAGGTGTAGAGCTGGATGAACACAGCAGGCCAGGCAGCATCAGAGGAGCAGGAAGGCTGACGCTTCGGGCCTAGACCCCTCTTTAGCCTACTATTCAAACCTTATTTTCCAGCATATGCACCACAGCCTTATGACTTGGCATTGCAAATGTACATCTAAATACTTCCTAAATGTAATGAGATTTCTGTCTGTAACACCCTAAGAGACAGTGAATTCATGATCCCCACCACATGTTGGTTGAAAATGTTTTCCCTTATATGTGCTGGTATATGCTGAGGAAACTAATTTTTTTTTCCTGGCATACTTTCAAATTCGGTTAAATTACTTCTATTTAAATCAAAATGCATGAGGAGGTGTATTTCTTTGTCTACAGGATTGCCTCTGAAGTTTTGGATAGGTTTGCTGCCACATTACAATAATTTAGAGAAAAAGGGAAATGGGAAAGGATATTTTGATACTGCACTTCAATCAAACAGAATTTAGAAACACTCCTAGGTTATAAAGTAATCATCTCAGATAGTAGGTTAAGGCAAACTAACAGTGAAGTGAAACATGTTATTACAGAGTGTTGCACACCTCCCAGTGTGAAGCTTAATAATGCTTAATGATGTCATAGAGTCATACAGTTACACAGCGTGGAAACAGATCGTTCAGTCCAACTCATCCAAGCCGAACCAATATCCTAATCTGACCTAATCCCATTTGCCAGCGTTTGATCCATATCCCTCTGTGACAGTGAAAAAGATAATCTAAGATTACAAAGAGATCTTGATCAATTGAGTCAATGGGCCGAAGAATGGCAAATGGATTTTAATTTGGATAAATGCGAGCTATTGGATTTTGGTAAAACAAAATTAGACAAAATTTATACAATTAAAAGTAAGGCCTTTGGCAGTGTTTTAGAACAGAGACACCTAGGGGTTCAGGCACATAACTCTTTGAAGTTTGCATCACATATGGATGGGGTGATTAAGAAGGTGTTTAGCACGCTTGTCTTCGTTGCTCAGACGTTTGAGTGTAGGAGTTGGGACTTATGTTGAGATTATACAGGACGTTGGTGAGGCCTCTTCTGGAGTACTGTGTCCTGTTCTGGACTCCCTGTTATAGAAAAGATATTATTAAACTGGAGAGCATTCAAAAGAGAGTTACCAGGATGTTGCCAAGAATGGACTATTTTAGTTATAAGGAGAGGCTGGATAGACTGGGACTTTTTTCACTGGAGCATAAGAGGTTGAGAAATGACCTTATACAGACTTATAAAATAATTAGGGTTATGGATAAGGTAAATAGCAGGTGCCTTTTTCCTAGGGTGGAGGATTTCAAGACAAGGGGGCATATTTTAGGGTGAGAGGAGAAAGATTTTGAAAAGACCTGAGGGGCAATTGTTTTTACACACAGAGTGTTTTGTGTGTGGAATGAACTTCCAGAGGAAGTGGTGGATGTGGGTACAGTTACAATGTTTAAAAGTCATTCAGATAGGTACATGAATAAGAAATGTTTGGAGAGATATATGCCAAGCACAGGCAGGTGGAACTATGGGATTATGGTCAGCATGAACTGATTGGACTGAAGTTTCCATGTTGTATGATTCCATGATTGTAAATCCTTCCTATTCATATACCCATTGAGATGCTTTTTAAAATGTTGCAATTGTACCCGTCTCCACCACTTCCTCTGGTAGCTCGTTCCATACATGCATCACCCTCTGCATGAAAAAGTTGCCCCTTAGGTCCCTTTTAAATCTATCCCTTTTCAACTTAAACTTATGCCCTCTAATTGTAGACTCCCCACCCTAGGAAAAGACCTTTGCCATTCACCCTATCCATGCCTCTCATGATTTTATAAATCTCTGTAAGGCCACCCCTCAGCCTCCGATGCTTAGGGAGAAAAGCCCCAGCTTATTCAGCCTTTCGCTGTTGGCCAAACCCTCCAATTCCAGCAACATCCTTGCAAACATTTTGTGAACCCTTCCATGTTTCACAGCATCCTTCCTATAGCAGTATTGCAGTATTCTAAAAGTGGCCACACCAATGTCCTGTACACCCCCAAAACTCAATGCACCGACTAATAAAGGCAACTGTACCAAACACCACCTTCACCACCCTGTCTACCTGCAATCCCACTTTCAAAGAACTATGCACCTGCACTCCTAGGTCTCTTTGTTCAGCAACAGTCCCTGGTGCCTTAACATTACTGTGTAAATCCTGCCCTGGTTTGCCTTACCAAAATGCAACATCTCACATTTATTTAAATTAAACTCCATCTGCCCCTCCTCTACCCATTGGCCCATCTGATCAAGGTCCCATTGTACTCTGAGATAATCTTCACTGTCACTACATCAACAGTTTTGGAGTCATCCTCAAATTTACTAACCATAGCTCCTATAGTCAACTTTTAAATCAGTTTTGTAACTAACGAAAAGCAATGGACCTGGCACTGATTCTTGCAGCATCCGCTGGTCACAGGCCTCCAGTCCAAAAACCCCCTCTACCATCATCCTCTGTCTCCTACCTTCCAGCCAATTTTGTGTTCAGTTGGCTGGCTCTCTTCAGATGTGATCTAGCCTTGCTAACCAGTCTACCATGTAAAACCTTGTTGAACACCTTGCTGAAGTTCATATAGACAATGTCTACTGCTCTGCCTTCATCAATCTTCTTTGTCACCTCTTCAAAAAACTAGATCAAGTCAGTAATACATGATTTCCCATGCACAAAGCCATGCTGACTATCCCTAATCAGTCCTTGCCTTTCCAAATACATATAGATCCTGTCCCTCAGAATCCCCTCCAACAACTTACCCACCACTAACGTCATGCTCACAGGTCTATAGTTCCCTGGCTTTTCCTTATGACCTTTCTTAAATAATGGCACCATATCAGCCATTCTCCAGTTTTCTGGCACCTTATCCATGGCTGTCGATGATAGAAATATCCCAGCAAGGGGCCCAGCAATTATTTCCCTAGCTACCCACAGAGTTCTGGGATACACCTGGCCAGGTCCCAAGGATTTATCCACCTTCATGCATTTTAGGATCCCCAGCACCTCCTCTTCTGTAATATGGACACAAAATATTTGTTTAGTATCTCATGCATCTCCTGTGATTCCACACATATGGCCTGGTTGATCTTTAAGGGGCCCCTATTCTCTCTGCAGTTACTCATTTGCCTTTAATGTATCTGTAGAATCTCTTTGGATTCTCCTTAACCCTATTTGCCAAAGCTATCTCATGTCCCTTTTTCTTTCCTCCTGATTTCCTTCTTAAGTATGCTCCTGCTGCCCTTATGCTCTTCTAGAGATTCACTCGAACCCTGATGTCTATACCTGATATAAGCTTCCTTCTTTTTTTTGACCAGAGCCTCAATTTTTCTAGTCATCCAGCATTCCCTACACCTACCAGCCTTGCCCTTTGCACAAACAGAACATACTGTCTCTGAATTCTCGTTATCTCATTTTTGAAGGCCTTGCATTTTCCGACCATCATTTTACCTGCAAACAGCCTCCCCCAATACAACTTTTGAAAGTTCCTGCCTAAAACTATCAAAATTGCCCTTACTCCAATTTAGAACTTTAATTTTTAGATCAGCTCTATCCTTTTCTATAATTATTTTAAAACTAATGGAATTATGATCACTGGCCCCAAAGTACTGCCTCACTAATACCTCAGTCACTTGCACTGCTTTATTTCCCAAGAGAAGGTCAAGTTT